GAAGCATATGAGGGCAATGAGCCATTCCGATATGCCGACTTAGCAAAGAAGGTAGACAAGGATGTGCTTGAGGTAGGATTTTGTGGCTTTGTGGCACACTATATAATTTGACATCTGAAATGCATTGGATTCAATTGACAGTAGTTCAAACAAGTTTTTAAAGAAGCAACAAAGAAGAACAGAAACGGTCTCTTGCTGAGAAAGACTGCATGGTGACTGCAAAGGGAGTAGAAGAAAGAAGAAAAGATGTTACGACTTAGGTAAGTATACTGGGATGAGTTGGGTAGGGAGAAGGAAGGGAGTGATGATACGATTGCCAAGGTCGAGCTGATCTTTAGCGGTTATGGGCTGGTCGATGAAATAGTGAAGAAAAGAGGCCCACACTTGTTAACCCTTGTGTTATGCCCCACCAAGTACACTCCAGATGGCTGCCATGCTGATGTCCCAAGGAGGCCACAAAAAGGTCAATCCCTGGAACCAGATATCAATCCTGGGCTCGAGGAAGGAGCTTGAAAGAAGGAAAGTGTTAAGGTGACATTTAACTGCAAAACAACTTTCACTGTACTTTCTGAAAGTACCTTTTAACTTTCACTGTAACTTGCTGGCAAGAGCCAAGTATTACATAAGAATGAATAGAAAAAAAAATACTTTTATATAAAAAAATATAAATTTTATATAATTTAATTTATTAACCTAATGTTACTTATAGCACAATATGTTGTACATAGGGATGAAAGCTTAAGAAAGGAAATATTCATAACAGCTTTTTTTCAAGTTAAAGTATGCCAGGCAAAGTCATGAAGAACTAAAACAAAAGTCCATCCTCCCCCTCCTCCACCTCTTGTTCCCCTTTTCCCCAGAGGTTAAGAAATGACCCAAGAATGTACACAGTCGCTGCATAAATCAGTACTAAGCGTGTCAAAAATTAAATACACGACAGCACACTAGATGTCTTCATGAAACAGAAGGTCTGCATGTGTTGAGTAGCACCTGGTGTTTTCAGAGCATGAGATTCATTGGTTGAAATTTGCCAGCAGTATGAAGTGTAAGGCAGTAGGGTGGCAGACGGCCCAGGTGTAGGCTTTGTTGTTAATGGAGATTTAGGACTTCAGAAGGCAACTTTGGTCTCTGGCTTGCTGCTTGGCGGCCTGTAGACCTTGTTCACATATGCTGCAGACTTGGCCACCTTTAATTTTTTTTTTCATGTCTGCACATTCTGGATAATGTTACTGTGCTCACAGAAGTTACATTTTTATTAACCTCAAATGTAGTCCTGTGGCGTTTGAAACACTGTACAGGTGCTATTGTTTTCTGGTTTGGGGCTTGTTTTATTATTCTGTTAGAACTGAAAGCATTTCAAATTTGTGTTTCAGAGTAGACTGAGAAGAGGTTGCAAAGCTGTACTGTAAGTACAATTTTAACACACCTGTGTCTCTCTATGTTCCTTTCCTTTCATAAATGAGAAAATCAGACAATATGTTCACTGAAAAACAGATTTAATCACAGTAATTTGGTTCAGGGCTCATTTGAAACTATATTCTTTCAAAACGTTTTTTTTTAAACATATCTCACAAAAGAGATTACAGGGTAAATTGGTTGGTCAGAATATTTCTTCCTAAAATGCATAATTAAACCCAAATTATGCCATCAATCTTTTTACATTATGTGTCCTACAAATGAGTAGTAGGTGTACTATTCAAAGAGAGACATTGAAACAAGTATTTGTAAATCTTGAAACATTTTAAAAAACTGGGTACTTTTCTCATTTTTTTCCTTCATCTGAAATCAAACCTATAGTATCAATGATATTTAAATTAACAGTAATACTAGACTCAGAAATCTGTTTCTCATATCAGTGATCACCTAACTTTCTTTGCTACGTGTAACTATTACCTTACGGATTTATGTAGCTTAAAACAGGAATCAAATTTTTAATTTGTCATCATTTGTTTTTATTACAGTAATACATTTTTTCCAACGGTGTTGGGACTTTTGCAAAACTGATGTCTCATGAGCAGTATCTAAGTCTCAGAGCTTGTTCTTCCAGTCTTTCACAGTGCATTGCAGATATGGTTGTCAAAGCTTTATAAGATTTCCTGTTAGTTTTAATTAGTTTTAATAACCTTTTTACAGCCTAAGTAAAGCTAGTGAGAAGTCTTAAGCATACTGCTGTTAAAAAAATGATAGTATTTCCTAAAGTTTTATTTTTGAGCAATGAAGAAGAAAGCCTTTCCTTTCATAAATGGGAAAATCAGACAATATGTTCACTGAAAAACAGATTCAATCACAGTAATTTGGTACTGTGGAGTACCAAATACTTTATCTCACTTATAGTATAAAGTATCTTAGAGCTAACTGTGATAGGTACAGGTCTCGTGCACAGTGTTTAAACTAACTTAAGATTTCGGCAGAGGAAATGAGACAAAATTTCACGGGGCAAAAAAGCTACGTTCATCTCAAGGTTAATACAAGAGGCTTCTTTAATCAAAACCTCAATGTACACTATGCATGCTGGTTTGCATTGCAATGTCACTTCAGGAAATATTTTATATTCAGTTAATGTTTTCCAAACACATTTAACTGATATGTAAAATATTTGCAGTGCTTTTTCCCATTATAGCTTTTATTTTCTTGTATAAATATGCACCTTTTGCATATGTGGCTCATAAAATACTCAAAACCAATAGACTACAGGTACATACTATTTTATTTATGGAAAAATAGAACAATGCTCTTCATGGGTATTCAGAGTTCTGTCTTCAGTGTTTTTGACATTTTTTGGTCTTTAAATGTGTTCTGTTCACCAGTTATTTGAACTGAAGTATAGAAACAGGCTCAGTGTGAAACTAATTTATTTTGAAAGGTTTCTGTTGCATAATGTAATTGAATTAACTCTTAATTAACTATTTATTCATTGCACTCATGGTAACAAGAGGTGCAAAAAAAATAAAATGCTCTTTTATTTATTAGTACTGAAAAAGAAAAGCAACCAAATAATATAATCAGTAGTTCACCCAATTCCTTAATTTGACCTCATGTTTTCACTCATCTGCATGAAAATAAAAAATCTGCATCACTGTATCAAGATAATACATCATTAATTCAAATTTGATTCAAATTAGATAGCAATCGATTGAGTAGAAAAGATGGTAGGTATTGTGTTGAAAATATTTGATAAATAATTATTTGTTTTAAGTTAAAGAAGAAAGAAACAATCTTTAGCAGGTTTAAACAGTGTAACTACTTAATTAATTTTACACTTTAACGTGTTTTAATAATGAAAGCAATTTAATACTTAAAAGGACAAAGAAAATTATTTGGAAAAAATACAACTACAATTCCTATGCATGCAATACAATGTATTCCAGCAGAATAGCATCATGATTCTTCTATTCCCAATGAATTTTTAAAGTGTGTAAGCTACTGTAGGTGAGACTAAGTGTCCATTAAAACAAAATGCTACCTTGCAGCTATTGTTGAGTTCATATATAAAGCAAAACATTTCCTCTTTGAACTGAAAAAATATCCATCAACATCCTGCTCTTCTCCACTTCCTGTACTCATTTTCTGACTCATTACCAAGGTAAAAAAAATCTCTGTGACTCTGGGACCTAAATTTCACGTAGAGTGAAGGTAGAAGGTAGAGTACAATGCTCTCAACCATTTTCTAAAGTCTGTAAAGATGCATAATGACTGGTTGTGTGAGAGTCATCTTTCATTCACCTAGCTCGACTGGTTGGTATTGAAAAAGAGTCTACAGTGACTGTTGTAAGGTCCTCGTGGAATACTGCAACAGCTGCCTTTGGTTTTGCATCACTTGAAGGACCACATACTGGCCATCTGTTCTTCTATTTGGCCATTATTTACTTCTCATCTCATACCATCAATTTTTTAAGTCAGTCACTTGGATGTCCTACCAAAATCATTGGATGACACTTTGGCTGACATCAAGCTCTTTGACACTCTCCACATTATACAAATGAATAAATGTCTTTCTAACATAGCTGGATGTGGGTTTGTTATGAAATGATGTTATGCACTGGACCTTTTTTAAGTGAGATCCATATTCCTAAAAGTAACCACCAAGTATGTGTAATAGTTAATATAACCTTTAGATGCGACCTCATTCTCAGTTAATGAAAACAATTAGGAACTCCAATGGCTATGATGATTAACAGCACTTTCCACAAGGTTGCAAGGTTTTCCAAACTTCGTGGAAAACAAAAACAACTGTTGTTAAAAAACAAAAAGACCAAACATTTAAACTACATGTAAAGATGATCAGATTAACATATATTAAGATATTAAGAGGATTTTAAAAACTTAATTGCATTGTTTTCCACTGAGGAAAAACAATCTAACAGTGGAAATTTAGAACTTCAGATATCAAGAAAAAGAGTGAGAAGTTGGAACATTTTTGTGCCTATACTTGCTGGAATAGGCTCTGGCTTCCTCACAACCTTGTATTAGATAAAGCAGTAAGAAAAGGGATGGATGAATAGATCTTACAGCCAGACCATTTCACTGAGTTAATAGCAAGAGAATTTAAAAATCAATAACCTTCAAAGTGAGTTATTGTTTTCAATGACTATATATATTCTGCCTCACTAGAATACTTTTTCTTAAAAAATGCAGGTTCACAAAATACAAATAAAAAACATTTATTCCACACAGGACACAATAATGTCTGTGATGTTGCTCCTTTTTTTCTCATTCATCAGTTCTGAATATTGTCAATAACAATAAAATAAAAAGTGATATTTTGCAACCAGCTATAATTATGCTCTTAAATTGTAAATACAGCACATGCTATTTCAATAATTTCTAAAAATCAAGGTCATGGTCATTTATACAGTGAGTCAGATTATGGAAATAACCATAGCAAGCAATCATAGAACATTTTCATTTTCATGGAAGAAATGCAATATAAATTTTCAGGTTTTCCTGTTGATAGTTCCATAATGAATGAAGGTAAGAATGATGAATTAATGTGAACTTACCAGGTTCTCCATTTCTGCCTCTCCTTCCTCGCTTTCCTGGAGGACCTGGGGTTGAAGAAAGAAAATAAAATGTACAACTGGCTACCTTACACACTGCAACAAGCTCTTATCCAAGCACTGTTTATTATTGGTAAATTCTGTACGATGGAAATAAACAAAGTAGGAAATAAAATACTTCTGAAATATACTCTGTACATCAGGTCTGTCAGGGAGTTGTCAGTTGGTAACAAAAGAACCCTGTGCGAAGCCGAAGAGATGAATCTTAGTATCTAGAGAAGGTATCCGAATCGCTAGGCAAGGAGTAGTCCGAGGTTCGTGAGCAAAAGTCAAAAGCCGAGTAAGTAGAACAACAGTGAAACGTAGGGTAAGCTCTTCTCGGGAAGTCCTCAATAGCGAGCGAGGGGAAGATGTGAAGAGGGGGCTGAAATAGGAAGAGTGTGAACTTATTTAGGGCGTGAGTGCTTGCTGTACATAGGAATGTGATGGTGGTTGCGAAACAGAGTGCGATTCGTGACAGTACCCCCCCCCCCCCTTCAGGGTGGCTCCTGACGCCGTAGAGCGATGAAAGTCTTGGATGGCAGACTTGTCTATAATGTGGCTACCAGGAATCCAGGATCTCTCTTCAGGACCGTATCCCAGCCAGTCCACTAGGTATTGCCGTGATCCTCTGTGCCAACAAGAGTCCAAGATCTTACTGTTAATGCAGTTGAACCACCAATGGAGCATGGGGGGGGGGTTGTGGTTTGGACAGAGAGGATCTGTGAAGGCTTGAGGAGAGAGACGTGGAACGTGAAATGGATGCAGAGCACAGGGGGAAGGGCAAGATGGTAGGAGACCGGGGTTACCTGGGAAACCAACCGGAAGGGACCAATGAAGCGGGAACCTAGCTTTTAAGATGGCTGTCACAGAAGGGAAGTTCTGGGTTGATAACCAAACGAACTGCCCCCTTCTAAGTCTAGGAAAGGGTCTTCTTCTACATCAGTCTGCTGTTGATTTGTAATGGCAGGCAGTCCTCAGGAGGGTAAGCTGGGCCTTCTTCCATAGCTTGAACTGAAGGGGTATTAGGTATTAGAGATGGTATCCTAATGAGCTTTGAAACGGGGACATGACAGTAGAAGAGGAGTAGAGGGAATTGTCTGTTGGTAACAAAAGAACCCTGTGCGAAGCCGAAGAGATGAATCTTTGTATCTAGAGAAGGTATCCAAATCACTAGGCAAGGAGTAGTCTGAGGTTTGTGAGCAAAAGTCAAAAGCAGAGTAAGTAGAACAACAGTGGTACGTAGGGTAAGCTCTTCTCGAGAAGTCCTCAAAAGCAAGTGAGGGGAAGATGTGAAGAGGGGGCTGAAATAGGAAAAGAGTGTGAACTGCTTGCTGCACGTGGGAATGCGATGGTGCTTGTGAGACAGAGTGCGATTTGTGGTCCAAAACAGAAGTAAATGTGACTATTTAGTCTTTACAGGTACTGAACCATTACTATCAAACAGTGCAGACAAAATATGTTGCCTTAAAAATCATATTACAGTGCATTTCTGAGCTGAAAATGCATATACATTAACAGATATTTTTATTCATACTATTAGGTGTTTTTTTTGTTATTCTTTTGCTTTTGTTTTGTTTTTTTGAAAGACTGAATGTTCTGACTTTTGTAAGAGGACACGGGGAAGGGTCATCTCTAACAGGTATTTCCGAAACGAAACGCTGAAAATGCTAGAGATGGACCTTAGCAAGATGGCGGACAAAAAGAATCAGCTGACCAGTAGATGGAAAGGGTCTACCTTAAGAAACA